CCTCTCCCCGCCGGGCTCAGCGCCGGGGCGGGTGTCCCGGGGTCCGGGGTCCGCTCTGCCCGCCCCCCCGGGCTCCTCCACCGGAGGGAAGAACTGACTCCGTTCACAAGGACTTTTTGCTGCTGCTTTTGACTCCTTCGCAGCGCTTCTCTGCCTGCCCCGGGGCTCCTGGGGTCACTGCTGCCACCGCAGCCTCCCCGCCAGGGTCACCGCAGGTTACAGGACGCTTTGACCTCCTCCCAAATCACCGCATCCCTCACTGCGCTCAGGGACCGACCAGTAACTCTGTTACTTCACACAGCCCAGGGACTGTTGCTCACCAGGAGCTTGTGGAGCAGCTCACAACTTCAAGGGTTAAACACAACCCCAGCATCACATCTTGGGATGTCCCTTCCAGGCCCAGGACACACCCAGCTCGGGGGCTCCGGTGCCACCTCTGCTGGGAGCTGCAGCTACTGGGGTGAGAGGGTCCAAGGGTCAGGCTGTTGACAGCCCAGTAACAGCTGCCCAGGCTCAACAGTGCCCTGTGTATTTCCTGGGAACAGACTTTTCCTTCTCCCCCTGCTCTGATTTTCACAAACCTCTCCCCCCTCCCCCCTCAAAAAAAAAAAAGGAGCCTTTTTCTCACTGGTTTATAGTGAATCTCAAGTGCTTTCTGGATGACAAAGTCCATTTGTCAGCAATATTCTTTTAAAAGACTCCGTTCTCTGCTCTCTAAGGCCTGCCTGACAATCACTCTATTATCAGAGCTTTCCTACCCAACAGACATTTTCCCTTTCCCCCCAGGGCTGAGCCCCCCCAGCCACCCCAGAGAGGCTTCCACCCGAGTTCAGCTGAGACTGAAACCCTCCCGTGGCAAACTCCAGGGAAGGGCTGCTCTGCTGGATGGAGGACACCACCATTCCATCACACTGAGTGACCTTTGAAGCAGGGACCACTCACAGGTTTGTAATGCGTGGTGCTAGTTCAAAGCTCCTGCTTTCAAGTCATTTTTGCTCCCAGGGCCCCTGCTGGAACATCACTAGATAGTGAGCTGACTCTCAGCTCACAGCTGGGAAAGGAAATACTCCTGACCTTCTGAGATTGCTCACTAATGCTTTCTCCTAACACACGGGGAACATTCCCGAGTGAACTTCCCAGTTCACTCTGCATCCCTTTAGTGGGATTCAGGCCCAGCTCAGCAGCACAACCTTCTGCAGGTGTCTCTGTGCCCTCAGGTGTCTCCATCACTGCATTTTCTGAAGCTCTTTGGAAGTTATGACAAGCACAAAAAACACCACAGAAGTCAGGGCAGAGGCAGTGAGGGCTCATTAGGGTTAAGCCACGTTATCTAACATGGAAATGTTCTGCCAGCCCTGGGTACTGACAGTGCAGCCCTCAGGGGAGAACCTGCCCCCCCACCAGGGCTGCCTACTCACCCCAAATTCCCTCTGGGAATTCAGCCCCTCACCCAAGGACCCCATGGGCAGCCAAGGGGTGCAGAGCTGCCCAGCCCAGGGGCTCCCTGAGGACACACTCACCACACGCAGCAGAGATGGAGGAGCATCCACGTCCTTCTGCACCCCAGTGAGCCCTGTGGGAAGAGAGGGACACACAAGGTGTTATAATTGCAGAGTATAATATCAATTCCAAAACCCAGTCCTTCATCAGACTGTTTCTTCCCCACAGACACCTTCAGCCTGTGTCTGCACCAGTTCCCCTTCGATCCTCGTGCTCTCCTCTCAGCTTCACCACTTACCTGCCAGCCCAGGAAGGAGCTGCCCCATCCAAACACCCCTCACGCTGATGTGGTGTCTCTGTCCTTCTTCCAGGGGAAAAAAAAAGCTCACAGAACCATTGCTTATAAAAGCACACAGGTTTATTGCATATCAATCTCATGTATAAATTCATTGTAGCATTGGAAAGATTACATTTGGTATACATTCCTATTCTACAGCATTAACCTCAAAATCAGCTTTTTCTATTCATTATTTTAAAGGAATTTCTCTACACAAGTACATTTGTCTTTTATCACAAGCATCAAAATGAAATTTGTAAAATCGCTTTTTTTAATTATTTTCTACACTCTCATATCTCTTATTTCATTATGCTCCCAACAAAGCGATTTCATATTAATTAATAACTGCCAACACTTATTTTTTTCTCTTCCTTGGCAGTTCGAGGCTTCGAGCCTCGGACGCAGAATCTAATCACATATACAAGAAGTGCAGCTACAGAATTTTTGTCTTTTTAATAAAAATTTCACAAACAGACACAATAATGACTGCTAAACACAAGTCATGCACAGTTTACTTATAAACATAACAGAAGCAATATACAATCAAGAATGATATGGAACAAGCACCATCCTCTTTCTCAATGTTTTTTAAACATCATATGAAAACCAGACATTTACAATTGATTTTAAAAAAAAACAACAACAAAAAACCACTATACAGTTCTAAAAATAAAAATAAAATAAAACCAAACCAACAAAACAAACCCTAAATAATATCTGTATTGTAACAATGGGAAAAGGAATGACATCGGATGCACAGATTTATGATTCTTGCAAGCACAATATATATATGTTTTAAATTACATCTTCTGCAGGCTGGAAATGACATCAGGGCAAAACATCTCTTGCTTTGAAGAGAGCAACGAGAACGTAAGATACATTGAGAATTACTTTCAGAATTACTTTGTTCACATGTGAATTGCACGTTTGGAAATCAAAGCTGCCTTTTTTTTTTTCTTTTTTTTTTTTTCTTTTTTTTCATCCTTTTTTCCAAAGTGGTAACAAGAATCAATGACAGAAGAAAGAGAAAAAAAAAATTAAAAATAAAAAAAAAATAATTCTTGGAATCATTCAATAACATCTTAATCACAGTATCATCATCACTCAACACTACAGAGAAAAGGTTTCATGGCTTTGTGAAAACACTACTGACCATCTTCTAGGAGCAGAGGGTTTTGCCCTTATGTTACCAGCACTGACCCGAGTGCTCCCTGCCTGCTCTCCTGGGGCAGGAAGGAGCAGGAACAGGCAGGAATGAGCAGGTTCCTACACCAGGGTGCTGCCCCCCTTCCCCTGCCACACACACACACACACACACTCACACTCACACTCACACTACAGCACGTAAAAATCGAATGTAAGTCAGTAGATTGAGATGGGCTGAGGGGATGGGGCTCACGATCCAGTGCTTTGATGCTTAGAGTCAAACACGTTCACCTCTTTGTGCAAGTGCTTTGTTTTTTGAAATGCTTCGTATGAAGTGAAAAAGGAGCCGTTTCCACGGGCTCAGTGGAAAGTCTAAGTGCTGAGCAGGGAGAGCCCAAGAGCTCCCACCAGTCTGCTGAGAGCAGGGCAGAGACCAGGTGTGGGGTTTGTCTGGGAGCACAGCCCAGCACACACGGCTCCTGGTCAGCTGTCCAGCCCCTTGGGTTTGGCTTTGGCCCTTGGCCCTGCACATCCAGGAGCTCCTGCTGCCAGCCGGGATGTGCAGGGTCCATCCCAGCAGCACGGAGCCTGGGCTGCTGCAGGGGCTGCCACCTGATGGGGCCTGTCCTCTCCTCCCTGAGCAGCTCCGGCAGAACCATCTCCCTGGGGTCCAAGTCCTCCAAAGAAGCAAGGACCCTCTCAGCACACCTGGGAACTGCCTGTCAACCTCATCTGGTGACACCAAACAGGCTTCTCCTGACATCCCCTCCCTGCTGCTGCAGCAATACGGCTATGAAATGGGAAAATACCTTCCAGAAATAAACCCTATGCAAATATCCTGGGTTCAGATCACCCCTGGAGGGGCGCCTGGGCTTTCAAACAAGCAGCAAGCTCTGCTCCAGCCACTGCCACCCACCCCTCGCTCTGTCACACTGACACTGGGTCCCTGAGCACCATGTTAGCACTCTCAGGTGATGGGAACCCTGCAGCCCCATGTCCTACCCAGGCCAGGGGACCTGGAGCTCTCCCAGGGCTGGGGAGCAGGCTGTGCTCCCATGGCAGACCCTTCCTCCACACACACCCCCCTCAGGAAACATCCTTCAAAGCAAGGGATTGCTTTTGTCTATGACAGCAAAGCAAAAACCAAACGTCTGCTATGGGTTGCAACACGTTTCAAGTGCAATTGAATGAAGGCTACAAGATAAATAAGATTCAGGGAGGTTTTCTGTTTATTTACCTTGACTGTGGCAAAATTAGAACTGTGATCAGTGCTAAACTAGAGGAGTCAGGAGAGCCCACAACAAAAAGAGACACTAGCTGGGAAAGCAAGCTGAACATTAGGAATTAGGAAATACGAATAGAAAAAAAATCATGTAATGATTAAAAAAAAACAGATTTTTAATGTCCTTAACCCCTGGATTGTACCTCCCTGTCCCTGGCCTTGCTCCTGGAGAGCCATGGACCAGCCCTGCAAGGGAGATGGTGAGGTCTGGAGCTGCTGACAAACTGCTTCCAAAGACAGAACCCAACGGGCAGGAGGGCTGAGACACCAAGGGGAAGATCCTACATACCCAGAGAAATCCCCACAGCAACCCTAGCAGGTCTTGGTACTTGGCCCACATTTTGGAGACCAGCTCAGTGCTGCTGCCACCTCCTCCTGCTGAGGAGCACGATACCAACCTCTCCAAAGATGGCTTCAGCAATGACCAGAACGTGGGGCAGAGCACACACACCATGACCCACAGGTCTTGTCCCACCAAGGCAGGCAGGGCCACAGCCTGGCCGGGAAGATGCTCAGATGGCAGGAGCCATGGCTCAGCTCAGGCTGGCGTGCTGAGGGGACAGGACCCAGCCATCCCCTGCTAAAAGCTGGGCCAGGTTTCCATGTGTCCTGGTTTGAGCCAGGATGAAGCCACTTTTCCTGGGGTAGGGAATCTGCAGGGCTGGACACTCCCACCAGGGCTGAAGCTTCTCCAGGCTGTGCTGGTCAAGTCTCTGTGTGTCTTGGGGAGCAGAGGTGGCAGTTGGTTTGCAGGTCAGGGCTCAGAAGCCAGAGGCTTTCCTGAGGCAGGGAGCAAATCCACCAAGGAGCCAGTGCTGCTGCCAGTGCTGTCGAGCTGCAGCCCCTGGTTCTGTCCACAGATCCCTCCTAGCTCTGCATTTCCATGCTGGTGGGTGGCAGGGGCTGCCGTGGGACACACAGCCTGGTGGCATCACTGCCATCGTGGTGGCATCACTGGTGGCACAGGGAGGGCAGAGGCTGCACTGGCTTCCCAACCAGCCAAGGAAAGGAACAAACCTGCACCTCCTGCAAGGGGCACTTCAAGGCAAATGCAACAAAACATCTGATTGTCTGGAGAATCGGCAGCAAGACCAGCAGGATTGATCAGGGTCATTTGGCACGTGGACAAACTCTTCCTACTCCCTGGTTATCAATCATACAACATACAACCTTAATTACACCATTTTGGTCCTTCACTACAGACTTATATTAACATCATTTCTTCACAATAATGATACCTAATGCAAAAAAAAAAATACTGTTAAGGAAGAAATAAAATAAGAAAAGAATTAGCAAAAAAAAAATTACAAGTTATATACAGATTAAAATAAATTCCATCAGGAAAAGAGACAATTCTTTTATTATTTTCAGTTGGCCCCCTGGGAATAACTGCAAGGCCAGTGCCTGGGCAGGGCTGTGCTGCAGCAGCAGCAGAGGCAGAAGTGCTGGGACGGGGCCGTCCCGTCTCCTTCGCAGAGCCTGGTTCCTGTGACCTTCTCAGCTCTCGGGCTCCAGTTCCCCAAGAGCTTTGTGCAAATAAATGAAGCAGTACGGGTTACACTGACTGTTGGTCTCAGAGACTTGGGCACTTTCTCAGACTGTTGTGGGAAACCAAAAAGGAAGGGTAAATTTTCTTGGAAAAGACACTGATGCTGCTGATTCACCCCTGGTTCCAAAGCTGCTCTTTCCCCCAGGGGCAGCCTGAGCCTCAGGGCTGCCTCCCACCTGCTCTTGGGTGCAAAGAGTGGATTGCAAAGGTATCACTCCTGACACAACCTGTGCTTTACTTGAGCAGCTGTTTCCCTTATTTCAGGATGCTGGAATGAGGCTTTGCCGGGGTGTTTCTCCACGCTGGGCTGGCTCAGGAGCCTCTCTCTGTTCTTCCCTGTTCTTTTTTCCAGGCTGGGCAGGCAGAGAGGCTGCTCCTGTCAAGGATTTACAGCCAGATCTACTGACCAGCATCTGCTGCTCCTCCAATTCGGGCCACTGACCCCCATCCTGCAAGCAGTTGTTACCTGACACACTTCCTAGAAGCACACTGCTGAAACCAGTGGGAAAAGTTCCTCTCAACTTCCCTGGCTGCCACCTCTCCCCAGGCTGCTGAGGCAGACCTGCCAGGGGGGGAGATGCAGAGAGGTTTCACTCAGTTCTGCAGCACTTCTAATCCCTGGATCCTGTCACTTGACAATTCACAGGACACACCTCTGTGTAGCCCATGTTACCCTCTGCAAGGTCTAACTGCTTCCCTGTAATTCAGCTTCACCTGCAAAATCACTGCTCCAGCAGCAGATTGGAACTGCAAGGCAGAACAGCACAAAGACCACGGTGCTTCTGGGGGCTGTTTTCTATCAAGAAAGAAGATGAGACTTGGAAGTGGCTTCAAATCATTCATAAAATACCTGTGAGCAATTTTAGAGTCAGAGAGACAACGTGACTCTCAGCTCTGTGCCTGGGGAGAGGGCTGAGCCCTGAGGTTGCTGAAACAAGGAGATTTTCATCTTGCTACTGAAATCACAGGCCAACCCTCAGTGCAAGAGCACAGCAGCACACGGGAACAGCTGCTCCAGCCAGAAATTTCTGCCACAATTCCCAGATACTCTAAACACGGACAGGATATCAGGTGGAAAAACCCTGGGAGACCCACAG